GATGACTTCAAACATTAACTGTATTGTTTTGGTGTAAAATTCCAGATATATTGTTCATATACACTATTTGTTTTCGATACAATTGTAGGAAATTCCCTCATTTTTGCTTCATTTCCACACTCATCTGCTCCGTCCAGGAATCACAAAACCTTCATGTGCTCAGTTTGCTAGAACATCCGAGATGTTCCTCGACTGAGCATAAAGGGGCAGAGTCAGATGCTTCTCTCTCAGTTGCCTCTCACTCACTCAGTTGGTCATTTCACCTCGATCTGTGCACAGTCAAAACAAAGTCCGATTTTCTTCCTCTCATAATACACGTGATATAATCAAATTATTCAGAACATTGTTTTTAAAATCTTTTAAACTCTAGTTCTGTAAACATAAATGATTTTATATCTTTTAGAAAATCATTTGAAATGCTGGCTGCTTCCAGTTCAAATAAAGTCCGAGAGTGCAAAAATCACCCAAAAAGTTTCTGCTACATTTGTGAAACATGTATTACAGTTTTACGAAAGAAAAACATCACACACAAGGTAAAGTTAGCTTACTACCAATATTTTGAATATAAAATTGGTGACCAAGAAAAACGTTGGGCTTCACATGTGTGTGTTGTACAGTTTACACATCTGGCTTGATACAGTGGCTGAGTAAGAAGAGAGTAAGTATGCCATTTACAGTTCCCATGATATGGCGTGAGTCCAAAGATAATCTGACTGTTATTTTTGCTAGACTAATGTTTCTGGATATTTAGGCAAACTAAACAATACATTAAATATACAAATATTGCAATAAAACCAATACCTCATGGGGATGGTCTTCCATTGCCACATCCACCAGTGAATTGGGGAATAGACGACAATGAATCCTCTTCATCTAGTAATTCTATTCTTGTAGCAACACAACATCAACTGCCTCGTCTGTTCACACAAGAAGAGCTAAATGATCTGATTCGTGACTTGTATGTATCAAAGCAGCATGGGAAACTCGTTGGCTCTCATTTATAGCAACGGAATTTATTAGCTCCAGGAACAAGAGTTTCAATTTACCAAAGTCTTGCTTTTCACTACAGCATACAAGATACTTTGTGTTTCTGTACACATGTTGATATAGTAATGGAAGAATTAGGTACTGTACATCATCGATTTTTATCGATTTATCTAAAGTTAGGTTTAAAGCTGTACTTTTGCACAAAGGGAACACTAAGCCATTGATTCCCGTTGCTCATGCTGTGAACATGAAAGAAACTTATCAAAGCATGATGATTATACATTCTTAAATGCAGTTTTCAATGAATAAGTAAAGTTATTAAATAAAAAGTTATTTTCATGATACATAATAACATTTTGAATAAATTTATCATAACTCAAAACTAGAGGCGATCAGTAATTTTCAACATGATTTTTAGAATCAACATCATCAAATTACTCAGAAACAGTTGTATTTTTTTTCTAGTAGCAGAGAAAATATTTTGTTGTTGTGACTCAGTGTTATTAAAAATATGAAGTTTTGAAAGAGCTATTCATGGGATGATATTTTCAACATTATACAGAAATAAATCTATATCCTATAAATAGCTCTTCATATTGTTCTGCTTACTTCTTGTTTACTCTACCCCACAGCATATTCAGGATCCTGGGAATTCTTCAGATTTTACCTTAACCCAAATATATTTGTTTTTTGTGCCTATTATAAGCTTTACTGCACAATTTGTAACTCTTGTGATGATAACATTGAAATCTGCTATGCATGGTACAAGTTGTAGATGACATGCAGGTTCTTAAGATTGATTGGTTTCAGTTTCCTTTTGTAACTATCAGTCTAGTCCAATGGATGTTCAGTGAAGTTATAGGTAATGGTTTATATAGTTCCGAAGAGTGTTTTTCAGGTTTTGAACTTTAGTGAAAATTCCATGTATCTTGTATGAACGTTAACAATTGAAATTAGTACTAATATTTAATGGAAATATGTTCATAAGATTTTGCCAGAACTTAGCTATGAGCATAGTTTTTACTCATGAAAAACATGCATGTTTGATGTTTAATTTGTATTTTATGTTGAAATTTTTACAACTGTGCAGAATATATACTAATGTTGTTTATAACCATGTTAGCATATAAGCAAGTCGAGGATACTTTTGCAAGAAAGCCATCCTATAGTTCAACTGTCATACTTCCATAAAATCTTGCTTATATCTACCACTAGCAAGAGCATTATTGGTCAGTTCAAGGGTGTTGACAGCAGTAGTTTCCAGATTATACAAGTTGGTCAGAAGGAAAGAAAAAGGTGTGTGTTTATCGTTATAAGCCAAATGGATACATCTTTACGAGTGTTTTGAATGACAAATATTGTGATGGGCACACTAAAATGAACACTCTTACTTACATTGTTGAAGTGCCAAGTTCCCTGCTGAAAAGGATAGTATAGTTGTTTCTTTTGGAATATAGTAAGTATGATTGACACCATAACTTGTGTGTAATGAAATACTGTTACTGTTGGATAGACATAAGTTAAGTGGAAGTGACATCATTGACACCATAACTTGTGTGTAACTAAATACTGTTATTGTTGGGTAAACACAAGTTAAGTGGAAGTGACATCATTGACACCATAACTTGTGTGTAATGAAATACTGTTA